CCACCCCGGAGGACATTACCTGCCTTGTGCCCGCCGGAGCGGTCCTCACGCCCAGGGACCCCCTGCCGCCCAGCACCACCCCCGGTAGCCAGGCGAACAGCTCGCAATCCGGCAGCTCGCAAACCGACAAATCGCCCAACATCGAGTGCGTCGTTTGCGGGGACAAGAGCAGCGGCAAACACTACGGCCAGTTCACCTGCGAAGGTAAGCCGTCTTCCACCCCGCGCTAATTTGTTCGCGTCGCGAACCGCCGCGCGACCCGTCCGGGGGGAGAACGGTCCGGCGGCCGTGTCGAGGCTAGGGAAAAAACAAAGACTCGCCATTAATAACTCGGTGGGGTGTTCCCCGGAACGCTTACGCGTCTGTTACGAGGCTAATAACGATGTAATAGGGCTGAGGAGCATCGGTTCTTTGTCGGTACGTAACGTAGGAGGTTCGTTCCGAGACGGGGCGAACGTTTTTCTTTCCGCTACGATTTAGTCTGCATAGACGAGTAGGTATGTTGGAATCGTCAGGTCCCGTCGCGTTGCGAGCGACGGTGTTGTCGTTGTTGTCGATGCTCCGCTACGATTTAGTCTGCATAGACGAGTAGGTATGTTGGAATCGTCAGGTCCCGTCGCGTTGGGAGCGACGGTGTTGTCGTTGTTGTCGATGCTGCTGTTGTTGTTGTTGTTGTTGTTGTTGTTGTTGTTGTTGTTGTTCCGCGTGCGAAGGGAGTAACGAAGAAGAATGTGGACGAGGAGAACGGTCGAGGCTTAATCGAAATGTATGGTGCTCCGTTGGAAATCAGGAGTTACGTATCCTCCCACGGGTCCAGCTCCGTCTCGTCTCGTCTGCTCCGATCGCGTCTCCCTTGCTCGCCCCTGTTCCTCCCTATTATCCCGAATTACGCCTCATCGGTATCGGATCGCCCAGGGTAATTTATACTCGCGCCAGTGATTTAACGCGGCCGACGATGTCGATGGACCTTCCTCCTCTTCGTAATTGCCCCTCGGATCTGACATTTCCCGGCCCCTCTCTTAAAGATCGTCATCTTTTCACCGGCGTTCTCAAACTCTAATCGTCGCGTTCACCCTTGGAGAAACAAGTGTACCACACCTGGCAACGAACGAACGAACGAACGAGGGATGCGACAGGGGTGAAAGTGTTCCCCTTTGCAGGTCATCGGTGGTTCGTTAGGTTTTAGCGACGACTAAAGGTGACGGCCGTTCCCTGGAAAGCTTGAGGACGTGCGAAGGAATAAGAGAAGGCAGAGAGGGATGACATGGAAACTCCATGTTTCTTGGAAGGATTCGCTTCTTCTTCCGGTGAACTGGCGAACACGCGACGGTGGTACGTAACGTGGTCGGGTATTTTTGCAGGCCGATGGGTCGCCTTCGTCGTCGGACTACCGAACTCTCATTAAAATTCATGAGCACTCGTCCCCCTCTGTCTCTCTCTCGCTCCCAAAAGCCATAGTAGTTTGCGCTTTCGTATGCTGCACGTAGGAACGCGAGCACCGCCGCGTTCACTCGCGAGCAAAGTATACGCCGTGCGTGTACCGCGATTTACATCGCGGATTGCCGTCACACTCGCCCGCGATGCAATATTTACGAGACATTTTTACAACGACGAATGTCACCCGGAAAATATCGTTTCGAGGACCTCCTTTCCACGTCTTCGACCGTCTCGGTCGACTCGGTAGAACGGTAGTGTGACGAACACGCGACACTCGTCCACTCCTGTTAATTCACCTTCGCTTCCACCCCTTCACTCCTCCTCTCTTCTCGATAGCTACGTATACAAGTGCAACGCGGTCTTCGTTCAGATATCAATCCACATCGGTGGTTTCGTCACGAGTTGGGCGACGAGTTGAACTCGACGTTGATACAGGTGTTACCGCGCGACGAACGGACATGTCGTTGTAAATCTGGTCGGACAACTGCTCTACGCAGGTTTGGTCCGAGAAGTCGACTGTCCGTAATCGTGCAAAATTTTCACCGGTGACTGTAATCACCGTTGGCGTACGAACCAGGGGGTTAATTGCGTGGGTATGCAGGACGGTTGGACGAGTGGCGAAGAAGGAAGAGGTTCGAACTGGCGTTCACCGCTTTGTTCCCGCGGGAGGAGGACCGATGACGTTAGCGTTTAAAACGCCGCTAAAAATAATGCTCGGGGGATTAGCTGTCGCGCATCTGGTAGTTCCCCCGTGGCAGCGCGCCGCCCCGCCGCCCCGGCTGTCCGCGCTCGTTAATTTCCAACAATTTGTGCCGGCTCGGTCTGCGCGAAGATTCGACGCGTGGAAACGTAGGATTCGAGCGGGTTAAGAGTCGGTCTCTTAATTGAACGGTCGAGTTACAGCGGCGAGTCCTCTCCCTGGTGTTCCAATTACAGTCGCGCTAACGATATTTACCATTGTTAGGCCGAGCCACTCGCCCTCTCTCTCCCCCTTTCCTTTCGTTTCCCGCTCTTACCAGTCGCGCGATAACGCTCTTAATCCGGCGATAATTTCTATTCGCGGTAATCTTAAGTAC